GTGCTGTGTATGTCTGTGGGTGCTGTATGTCTGTGGGTGCTGAATGTGTGTGGGTGCTGAATGTGTGTGGGTGCTGTATGTGTGTGTGCTGTGTGTGTGTGTGCTGTGTGTGTTGTATGTGTGTGGGTGGGTGATTGTGGGGTGGAGGTGGGGGTACATTATTTGCTATCCCCCCTCCCTTCTTACCTTTTGTAGGGAGGGGGGATCGTGGTCCTGGTGGTCCAGTGGAGGAGGGGATCCTTGCTGCTGTGATCCCTGGTGGTCCAGTGGAGAGTGAACTCTAACCCCTGTGGGGCTAGAGTTCACTCTCGCGAGATTTGAGCGTTGCCGTGGCAACGCTCATATCTCGCGAGAGGAACCCGGCGGAGCTGCGGCAATAGTTCCGCCGGGTCCTCTCCTGCCTCCCTCCCTGCATGTGGGTCAGTGGGGAGGGAGGCTGAGAGCAGAGCTGGCGCTCGGATAGCGCCGGCTCTGCATGAGCCGACAGGGGAGATCCTGAGATCTCCCCTGCCGGTCTCAATATACATAGGCGTGCCGCGGGATTAGGGTGTGCCCAGGCACACCCGGCACACCCCGTGCGCACGCCTATGTCAGTATACACAGCGTATGGTACACACAGCCAGCACACTGTATACTAACCGGGTACTGAGCCGTGTCAGTATACACAGCGTATGGTACACACAGCCAGCACACTGTATACTAACCGGGTACTGAGCCATGTCAGTGTATACCGTGTATGGAGAGCGCGCACGCTGTATATTACCTAGTACTGAGCCATTTCAGTGTATACACAGCATATGGTACACACAGCGAGCACACTGGATAGTTACTGGGTACTGAGCCATGTCAGTGTATACACAGCGTATGGTACTCACAGCAAGTACACTGTATACTAACTGGGTACAGAGTCATGTCCTTGTATACAGTGTATTGTACTCACAGCGAGCACACTGTGTAGTTACTAGGTACAGTGCATACTGCCTGCAACTGAGTGCTATACATTTTTTCAGTGTTTACTTTTATTACTCGAGCATTACAGTGAGCTATGTCTAATAGTATACAATGTGCTGCCACTACTTGCAGCATACAGTGAGCTGTAATTAACACTAAACAGTGTGTACACTGACATTGTGTTCTTTGTAATGACATACAATGTGCACTGTCACTGCTTGAACTGAGCTATATGTTTATAGTGCTTGAACCATACACTGAAATGTGTAATGTCCCTGCTTGAGTTTAATAAGCAGATTTTTTTAGCGATACATTGAGCTTTGTGTATTTCTATACTGTGTATACTTTCACTGTTAAACTATTCAGTGAGCAGTATGTAACAATATATGCAGCTACAGCTTGATCCATATGTAGTATCCTGCTTGTGCTTTAGCCATACACAAAGCTGTGTGTACTGTCACTGTCTGCTTCATACACATTGTGTGCTGCCATTGCTTGAATCATATGGTGAGCTGTCTGTAAGATGTACACTATGTCCTTCCACAACTTGTAACACAACTTAAGTAAAATATTGTTAATTCACTAAACTGAATTGTTGCAATTCCCTGATAAATCTTTACGTTCAATGGTAAAATACTTGAGTTGAAAACCTCCAGCTGCTATGGCCTACAATTTCCACTTCCCTACTGTATTCCCAAAACTCACAGTTTAACCTTGTTGGTGTGTACTTTCAGGACTGGTCATCTCACGGATTATTGGGAACTGAAAGTGAATTTCACCTTTAAGGCCAAATTTCCTGAACAGAAGGGAAAGCTGACTTGGAGTTTTTCCATTTCTGGTCTTTTGGCCTTAAACCAAAACTTCAGGCACCATAACAATTTTACCTCACTTAAGTTGTAGTTCAGAACATCCCATGTGCCATTGTATGTTGTTAAAATGCAGACACTGAACATTCCTCATAGAGATTCATTAATTCAATTCATCTCTATGAGGAGATGCTGATTGGCCAGGGCTGTGTTTGAATAATGTTGGCTCTGAAACTGCTATGTTTACAACTGCAGGGTTAACACTAGATGGACCTGGCACCCAGACCACTTCATTGAGCTGAAGTGGTCTGGGTGCTTATAGTGGTCCTTTAATGTGTGGTTATACTTGCAGAACCTAAATTTCATTTAAATGTTCTATATTTCCCCTATTTTAAAGGGAAAATAGGTCACATCTAAAATTCAGCGCTCTTAGCCATTACAAAAATATTATCTTCAGTAGATGTTCCCCTTACCTACCAGTTCTGATATGGTTAAAGGGAGACTCCATAGTCCCAATACAAAAATCTCTGTTCAGCAGATATACCCACATTAAAATGTGCATGCATTTAATTATGCATTTTGTTTTATTGGGGTATATCTATAAACAGCTTGCAAAGATTGTAGGTCTCTCGCCTGAAAACTTTGCAAGCCCAGCACAGATTTGAGTTTTAACAGTCAAGGGGTGTAATAAGGTACATTTATGTAGGTGCCCACATGCTTTGTAATCTGAATTTTGTGTAAAATAAAGAAAATGGCACTCTTTACACACACAGCATTTCAGCCATATACAGTTCTTAAGGTATCTGGAGTGTTCCTTTGGGCTACTGTAGAATACTTTTTAGATTTTATGGTTTAATATTGATATGTACTCCTTTATACATTAATTACATTTATTTTGTTTGTAGAATGAAAAGAGGATGTAAAGCTAGTGAAAGCAGCATTTTCCCTGGTGGGGATTTAGAACGTTCGAAGAAGATGAAGAAGAAGAAGAATAGAAAAGATGAATACACAGATGTGTCAAGGATTCATGATTGGGGAAATTTGCTTCCAGACATCATACTCCAGGTTTTTCAGTATTTGCCTCTGCTGGACCGTGCTCATGCCTCACAAGTTTGTCGAAACTGGAATCATGTTTTCCATATGCCTGATCTGTGGAGATGCTTTGAATTTGAACTGAATCAGCCTGCTACATCTTATCTGAAGGCAACACATCCAGACTTGATTAAGCAGATCATCAAGAGACACTCAAATCACTTGCAATATGTCAGTTTTAAGGTGAGTCGTATGATCGGTAAATTATATTTCATTTACTACAGCATATTGAAACCCAATGCATGTTTTGTTTGTTGTTTATTTTATTATAAACACTCTTATTTATTTTTTTTTCCCAAAATGTTCCATAACTAAGGGTCCCTGCGTAAAGTTTGGTTAACTTGGCAGGTTAAAGTGTGACGCACGATGCCTGGATTTGCTGGGAATTGTTCTCTGAATTTCTTTGTCCAAGTTGGACTACATAAGGGGAAACTTGAGAGATGCAAGTCAATGTAACATTGATTTTATATTTGCATAAAGTTCTGAGGAGAATTGTTCTATTTTTATTTTTTAGTTTAATTTATTGTGTTTTGAATGACTACAACTTATTTGTATTTGATATATTATATCCTAGTGCTCCATCAGTGAAAACATTTTTCTTCTATAATATATGTATAGGCTGAAATACCTGGCACTCAGGATGCAAAACAACATGGCAGGGTGCACTACCAGGGCTCCAACATCCAATTTGCAAATAGACAGCTGCACTCTCGGTCTTTCAATAAAAATTTACTTTTATTCCATGGTAGTTAAAAACTGGATCAACGTTTCAGTCTCACATAGAGACTTTCTTCTGGACCAGAGATATACATTTGTTCCCTCAATCCTATTCCCTTATGTCTCCCTCTCTTGCTCTTCCTCTCACTAAAATTTTCAAACTCTTCCTTTCTTCTGGCACATTCCCCTCACCCTTCAAACATGCAACTGTAACCCCAATTCTGATAAAGCCCAGCTTTGACCCCATTCCCCATCATACTACCATCCTATCTCGCTACTGCCATTTGCCTCCAAGATTCTCAAGAGAGTTGTGTACATCAGACTGACTTTGTTGAATCCAAATCTCTGCTTGACCCCCTTCAGTCTGGATACCGCGCTGGTCATTCTGTTGGCGTCCCCCAAGGTTCTGTCTTTGGTCCACTACTGTTCTCCATCTATACTGCCTCCCTTGGTAAACTCATCAGCTCATTTGGCTTCCGTTATCACTTATATGCAGATGACACGCAAATCTACCTGTGCTCTCCTGATATTGACTCGTGTCTCTGACTGCCTCTCTGCGATTTCTAACTGGATGGCTGTTGGAAATCGCCTTTCCAAAAAAGAACTTCTGGTCTTTCCTCCCTCGAGTGTTACTGCTCCCGTGCCTGTCTCCCTCCTAGTCAACGACACTACCATCACCTCTACCTCGCAGGCTCACTGCCTGGGTGTTCTTTTTGACTCCAACCTCTCTTTTACCCCTCATATCCTGTCACTTCCATCTCAAAAACATAGCGCGCATCCACCCCTATTTAAACCCGGATGCAGCTAAGGTGCTGGTCCGTGCTGTTGTTCTCTCTTGCCTTGACTACTGCAATCCCCTTCTCAGTGGTCTTGCGTCTTCCCAGATTGCACCACTGCAATCTATAATGAATGCGGCGGCGAGGCTCATTTTCCTGTCCGCTCGTACCTCCCACGCCTCTCGGTCAGTCCCTGCATTGGCTTCCAGTTAGATATAGAGCTCAATTTAAAATTCTGGTGCTTACTTACAAGTCCCTATATAATGTTGCTCCAACCTACCTATCCTCCCTAATACGCAAGTATGTCCCGTCGAGGCCCCTACGCTCTGCCAAAGACCTATGTATATCCTCTGTCCGTACTCCCACCTCTAATGCTCGCCTCCACGATTTCTCCAGGGCTGCACTTCTTCTGTGGAACTCCCTTCCTTTCTCCGTAAGACTTTCACCCAGTCTCCACTCATTCAAAAAAATCATTGAAAACACCCTTCTTCAAGAAAGCATATCAATTAAACTGTTGGCAGGTTTTTATCCTCCTTCCCCCATGACTCCTCTCCTGCAACTGTCAAAATTACCTACTAAGCCCTCAGTGAATACCTTTCTAACAACCTACTTCGTACCCCTACTTTTACCCTTTGTGTCACTATACCCCACTCCCTCTAGAATGTAAACTCATTAAGCATGCCCCTCCACCTCTCTTTTCCTGTTCGTCCAGTTACAATTACATGTCTGTTAGTCCACCCATTTTACAGCTACGGAATCTGATAGCGCTATGTAAATATTAAAATAGACCTATATCAAACAATGTGAGTGTATATATGACACATAAATGGGAATATTGACCTACCCCAGGTGCAGTGTGTTGAGAACGGCGTCCGGCCGGATCCTATGCGCGTGTGTGATTGGAGCTCCACCCCTAATTGTGACGTGATTACGTGATGATGCCGCTGTTGTTACCATAGCTATGCGGCTTAATTAAAGTCTCTATGGGACCGTGTATACAATAAAGTGAGCTCCCACTTTTTAGTGCGATCTGCAAGACCTGAGAATAAAGGACGATTATAAAAAAAAAAACTTCTAAGAGTTGTAAGTTATGCAGTGTGGAATACTGTAGAGTGCTGTATAATTTAAAGTGCAATCATGTCTACAGTGGTTCACTGATAAGTGCTGCTGTGAAAACTGATATATAGAAAGTGACTGAATTGTTAAAATATTAAAATACAGTGATGTGTGCATAAAAACTGACCGTGAAAAACGATGATACAATATATAAAGAGCTATAATTGCAGACTTTTCAGTTTTTATGCACATCTATAAACAGCAACTACATTAAGGCAGTTTATTGAGCAGCCTTTTTAATTTTCATCCTTGCGTCTGCTGTATAGTGTGTGTGTGTGTGTATATATCTAGTTCAACTTCTGCATGTCATTGTGTCCTTCTGTTTTTAGGTTGACAGTAGTAAAGAATCAGCAGAAGCCGCTTGCGATATCCTATCACAGCTTGTAAACTGTTCTCTGAAAACGCTTGGACTCATTTCCACTGCAAGACCTAGCTTTATGGATTTACCAAAGGTACATTCTTATGATATGAGACACCAAGCCCTACTGTATATGTTGTATGTACTATCTTTTTGTGTCACTTGTGAAGTTTGCCAATAAGAAAATAGATTTTTATTTTTAATATAATTTATCTAGTTAATACATTGTTAAACACAGATCTGCACACACCAGTCAAGCCATAAGATTTGCTTTTCCCACAAAAATATCAAATTTGCAGTGATGTTACTACTGCAAGGGATTCTGGGTGGGCATATGCAAATTAGTTCTATAAAGAATAACCTTTTTGCTTCACTATTCCATTTTAAACATGGATTCCTTGGAGTTTGTTTGCTCTGTACCAAAGCTTTGAAGCACAACTCAGGAAAAGATACAAAGCCAGTGAACCACTCAGACAGCTGTTACATTGTTAGTGCAACTCATCAGCATGAGGTTGGTTACTGGCTTGCTAAGTGAGGCTTGGCATTACTTGCAGAGTACAAACCAAGAAAGTTATGGTCTGGGGAACAAAATAATTGTCTGTTTTGCTTTACATCTATTTACGACTCCACTGTTTGTTAATCTGACCAGTTATCTTCTCCTACTTGGCAAATATCACGCGCTATGAATTGTATGCTAACGTTCAACTTCCATCCATTAAAAGATCCTAAGGACTGCAATCCTGCTAGAGATTATGCTGCATACGTATCGATTTAAAGGAATCTCTAACATGAAAAATAAGTGTGTGTGTGTGTATGTATATATGTATGTGTGTGTATATATATATATATATATGTGTGTGTGTATATATATATATATAATTATGTGTGTGTATATATATATATATATATATATATATATATATATATATATATATATATATATATATATATATAAAAATTATGTGTGTGTGTATGTAGGTAGTAGCATCAGGGAGCGCCTGTGAAGGAATTCCCAAGCTCAGGCGATATGGAGGAGGGAAGGAAAAAGACACGCATCTAGTGTAGTATATTGAGATCTTAAGGGACCACTCTAGGCACCCAGACCACTTCAGCTTAATGAAGTGGTCTGGTCTATTCTAGGGTTAACCATTTTTTTATAAACATAGCAGTTTCAGAGAAACTGCTATGTTTATCAATGGGTTAAGCCTTCCCCCTATTCCCTCTAGTGGCTGTCTCATTGACAGCCACTAGAGGCGCTTGCGTGCTTCTCACTGTGATTTTCACAGTGAGAGCACGCAAGCGTCCATAGGAAAGCATTGTAAATTGCTTTCCTATGCGACGGGCTGAATGCGCGCGCAGCTCTTGCCGTGCGTGCGCATTCAGCCCAGGAGGAGGAGAGGAGGCAGAGAGCTCCCCGCCCAGCGCTGGAAAAAGGTAAGTTTTACCCCTTTTCCCCCTTCCAGAGCCGGGCGGGAGGGAGACCCTGAGGGTGGGGGCACCCTCAGGGCACTATAGTGCCAGGAAAACGAGTATGTTTTCCTGGCACTATAGTGGTCCTTTAAGTGATGGTAAATGAAGGGAAAGGAATTGCACTTACAATTTTCTGGAACCTATACTCTGCTCCAGATATGTGCGCTTGGACGGTACAATCCCCGCCTATGGATATGTAGATGGTCCTTGGATGTCAAAAAGGGGGTCTCCAGTGGTGCTAGGGTATATCTCCTTTCCAATGGCAATATGCCGGTATTCAAAAATTTGGTGATATATAAAAAGGATAAAAACACAAAATAGTGCTCTCTGGATAATACAAAATAAAATGATTTTAAAAAAATGGAGGTATACTCACAAGTGCAGAGCAAATAGGATATTGCTCAATATATGTAGGCGTGGGTGGTATGATCCCCACCAAGGATATCACTCCTCGAGTCCTCCAGTGGGGGTGTTGGTGAGAGTAAAAGTAATTATATTATAAAATAGAATAAAAAGGATAGGCTTGGAGGCTGGGGACCCCCTTTTTGAGGAGTATAGGCTCCAGAAAATTGTAAGTGCAATTCCTTTCCCTTCATTTACCATCACTTAAGAGCTCATACTACACTGTATCCATGTCTCTTTCCTTCCCTCCTCCATATCGCTCTGAGGGTGGGAATTCCTTCACAGGCGCTGCTCCCTGATCCTACTACCTACATCCATCGTACCACCAGAAAAGAAGAGACTCTGGTATTTGGGAAGTTTCAGCAGCCACATACTACAATTGCAAGTACTGATATTCCTCCTACCCCTCCGTGTGTGTGTGTGTGTATAATGTATGTATATTTATTACATCTATGTTCTTAAATGGACAATATAATCACCCAGACCACTTCTGCTAATTGAAGTGGTCTGGGTACAGTGTCCCTATTGCCCTTAGTTGTGCAATGTAAAACATTGCCGTTTTAGAGAAACTAAGACCGCCACTAGAGGTGCTTCCTGTATCTTAAAAGACTTTAGGTCGCCTAACGGACGCTGGACATGCTCATTAATACAATGCTTTCCTATGGGAAGAATGTTGGAAAGGAGGAGGCACAGGCTGCAAGAGCTAGCTCCTAACAGCCTCAGCCTGCAGACTGGTCTCATGAACCCAAAAGGTAGGAAACTGGAGGGTGGCTATAACAGTGTATATTTTGACCTGTATGCCTATCAGTGTGTGATTGACTGTATTTCTGTGTGTGTGTGTGTATCTGTCAGTGTGTGTGTAAGAAGTAAAGATAACTAAAACTATCTTTAACTAATTGAGGTATACATGTTTGTTTTCCCAGCACTATATAATTATCCTTTTTCATCCATTGCCAAGCTAATTTGCACAAAATTTATCAGCTAAATGTGTTAGATTTACTTATCTCTGTCATGCCAAGGATTCAGGAAACAGAGTAGGTGATGTGTGCTGATTTTCGCCTGTGCACTCCCACAGTAAGACAAACTGAAGACATCACGGCTAGAGGAGAAGATAATGGTGGCTCCTGCATATTGAAAGCCAGTGCAAGGAAGAAAATAAAATACATGTAATGAAACACTAGTGGCGAGGCTGGGATATAACCAAAAGTATTAAAAACATTTTATAAAAATGAGCATTTCTATATTTTCTTATTGCAGAGTGAAAATGTAGCCATTGCAACCCCTGGTTTGTGTAATGTAGGACCCCTAATCGGTAATGTAATGTAGGATTTGGCATTTTGTTTTTCTGGGTAGTCATTTTAGAAATGCGTTCAACCACATGCACTCAAGCTACTTCCCTGAGCAGTGTATTAATCATTTATATTTTTAGGATTAAGACTATCTTCAAACAAACACTACCTCCATTTGAATATAATGTGATTTATGTCTAAACTATATTGCCAAATATAGGTTTTGGAGATCTGAACAGTTTGACTCATTCCATGTTTTATGAGACATTACATTTAATGGATAGATAGAATGAATATATATGTGGATGTAGTGTTCCTTCTAGTGAAATCTTACTAAGTAAAATGGTATATAATTTTATTATTGATTTATTTTTAACTACCTCTTTTGCAGTCACACTTTATATCTGCCCTCACTGTTGTATTTGTAAACTCCAAATCCCTTTCATCACTAAAAATTGACGATACTCCAGTGGATGACCCATCATTGAAGGTACTCGTGGCTAACAACAGTGATACCTTGAAGCTTTTAAAGATGAGCAGTTGTCCTCATGTTTCTCCTGCAGGTAAGACTGACTTTATAGATGGTGTTCTGCTGTAAGTACTTTTTTCACTTTTAATTATGTATGCCAATTGTGTATTCTTTCAAAATAGTGTTAAAATAAAGCTAGTAACTAGCTGTATGTCCTCTAAGATTTTTGTATCTGTCTTCATAAACAGAGCTTGCATATGTACATGCTGCAGGAATTGTAAATGTGTCCCGTTTATTGTTAATTTATATAATGCACAAAATATGGCATCCCAACTCAAATTGAGCTTGTTAATTAGTGTTTGCTAAAATCTGAGCGTCTAGAAATACTTTACTTTGAAGCGTTGTTAGCTCAATGCACAGCTTTACAATTGTCTGTGGTCAGTGTTAAACTGGGCCAGAAAAAATGCATCTAAACATCCCCAACCCTAATCCATATTTCAAGTCCCAACTAGCCGTAATTCTTAATAACCAAGTCCTCACTAATATTATTCGGATCATGACAGAGCTGTGCAATGCTGTGCTTTGATCTGACAGTTCTTCAGCAGTGAAGATTTTAAAAGGCGATGAATTGAAAGTACCCAAATTTTCACATTATAACGAGATTGATCTCAAATGTATTAAGTTATGCAAACAAATAAACCTGGATGAAAAAATAATGGTGCATTGTTTTGTATTATAGGAATACTCTGTGTTGCTGATCAGTGTCACGGGTTGAGAGAGTTGGCCCTGAACTATTATTTGCTCAGTGATGAGCTCCTGCTTGCATTATCTTCAGAGAAACATGTCCGACTGGAACATCTACGCATCGATGTTGTGAGTGAGAATCCAGGGCAAACACACTTCCATGCAATTCAGAAAAGCAGCTGGGATGCATTGATAAAGCATTCTCCCAAAGTGAACTTGGTCATGTACTTTTTTCTTTATGAAGAGGAATTTGATCCATTTTTCTGCTATGAGACACCAGTTACCCATTTGTACTTTGGGAGATCAGTAAGCAAAGAAGTGCTTGGCCGTGTTGGTATGACATGTCCACGATTAGTGGAGTTGGTTGTATGTGCTAATGGACTTAGGCCTCTTGATGAGGAGTTGATTCGAATTGCGGAGCGTTGCAAGAGCCTAACTGCCATTGGACTTGGGGAATGTGAAGTCTCGTGCTCTGCTTTTGTAGAGTTTGTTAAGCTGTGCGGTGGCCGTCTTTCCCAACTTTCCATAATGGAGGAAGTGTTAATCCCTGATCAGAAGTTTAATTTGGAGCAAATCCATTGGGAAGTTTCAAAGCACCTTGGAAGAGTTTGGTTTCCAGATATGATGCCTACATGGTAGAATTTTAAAACCAGTAAAAAAAAAAAAAACACTGGAAATATGAAAAGAGCACTTTAAATTTCCAAATCTAATGCATGGCAATCAACTAAATTAATTTGTTTTCTTTCTTCTTTGCTTTAATTAGAGGGAAAATAAATAAATGTATCAGTAATGACATAGAATCCTTTTACTGCATTGGTTTTAATTTGTATATTTTTTGACTTAAAATATGTGTATATATGTATCCAGACCAGGTCTCGTTTTACTGATCTACATTTGCATCTTGTATTCCAATGTAAAATTATATTGCCTTTATGATAAAATATAAGAGCATTGTAAATATAGCATTGTAAATATTTTCCCCATATTCTTTCCAGTCTCTTGTCGTTTTTTTTTGTTTTTTTTATTCAAATTATTTAGGTGCTTGGATACAAGTGTCATGTGTGTGTATTTTCTTTTGCATGTTGAAATGAGAGAATTTTTTTTTTTTTTTTTATCCTTCAAAAAGTACATTACAAATAAACCAGTGCACAGTAGTGATTCTAAATCTAACAAATAACACTGGGTTATTTTTGTTTAGATAACATCACTTGAGTGGTAGTTTCTTTTTAAAAATTTACAAAATAAACCCTCCAGATGTCCCCATAAACCCCTTAGGGACGGGTGACGGACGAGGTCCGTCACAGAGGGGAGACCCTTAATGACGAGTGACGGACCTAGTCAGTCACGTGGTAAAATTAACTCCGGATCGCAGGGTTAATGGTGCTCCTGTCTGCCTCTGTATTAGAGGCATACCGGGAGCACCCGGTCAGGCGGCCCAGCACATGTGCTCGCTCTGACCGCAAGTCAGAGCGAGCACACGTGCTCTGTATACTCACCTTCACACAGAACCAGGAAGTGCAGGGAGCCGGAACAGTTCTAATCCTGCCCCCTGCTGGGAAAAAGTTAGTTTAAAGTCGTCGGGTCCCGTCCGTCCGTCCGTCCCCCCCCCTTATCCATTTTAATAAAAAATTAACCCCATCACTGACTACAGTGATCAATTGGTATGATCTGATTATTTTTTTTTTTTTTTTTTTTTAACCCTCAGGGGTTAAATTAATTTAATTAAAATATTTTAAAATTATATATTTAGCTAGCTGGGGTGGGTGGAAGTTAGTGGGGAATTTGGCGTTAGGCTAACTAGGGGTTAACATTAAAAGTTTTAAAAAACTTTAAAAAGTTAACTTTTTTTTTTAAGCTTAATTTTTAACGTTTAAGAAAAAAAACAAAAACCTTTAGTCCAAATAAAAATTAACCCCTTCCCTACCAGTCGATCACTGCCTACAGCGATCAAATACAGATCAATGTATTATACTGTGATATAATTTTTTTTTAACCCCTGAGGATTAACTTTTATTTATTTTTTAACCCTCAGGGGTTCAATTTAATTAATTTAAATATTTTATAACTATATATTTTGCTAGCTGGGGTGGGTGGGAGTTATGGGAAAATGGGGAATTTACTGTTAGTGCTGCTTACTGCTAGTTTAGGGGTTAACGGTAAAAAATAAAGCTTAGAAAAATGTTAAATCTGTAAAAAAAAAAAAGGTTTAGGAAAGTTTAAAAAAAATTAATAAGCAAAACAAAAGTTTAAAAACTAGTTTTTAAAAGTAAAAAAAAAAAATGAAAAAATACATTTTAAAAACTCTCATTACCACTACACCTGGAACAAACTAGAGAAATTATCCCATGCCAATGTTCAAAATATGCCTTTTGAATTACCCCAGGGTGTATTCATTAATAAATAGTATGTGTTTGTGGGGAAGTTTCAATAACCAACCGTCTAAAACTACTCCAAATTGAAACATGGACACAGCGTAAAACTTCAACGTTAGAAAAAAACTGGCTGCATCTCAAATCAACATCCACATATACCTGGCAAAGGTACATACGGGGGTATTGCTGTACTCAGCCGACATAGCTGAGCAACATATAAAGTATTATACAGTCATAGCACACATAAGGTTTGCAAAATATGCTGCGCAAACTCACTTTGTATGTCAAAAAGGCAGAAAAAATGCTTATTACCACTACACTTGGTACAAGCTAGCGGAAAAATGATCCCACGCTAAGGTTCAAAATATGCCTTTTTAAATACCCTGGGATGTCTTTTTAAGAAATGGTATGGCTTTATGGGGAATTTGGATTATATAGCCTGGTAAAATACTCTAAAATGGGACATAGGCACAGCATAAAAATTCTAAAGTTTGAAAAAAACTGGAATGGCTGTGTCCCAAATGTGCCCCTCGTATGTCCACACATACCTGGCAAAGGTACATAAGGGGTATTGCTGTACTCAGCTGACATAGCTGAGCAACATATGAAGTATTATACAGTCGTAGCACACATAAGGTTTGCAGAATATACTGTGCAAACTCACTTTGTATGTCAAAAAGGCAGAAAAAAAAGCTTATTACCACTACATCTGGTACAAGCTAGCGGAAAAATGATCCCACGCTAAGGTTCAAAATATACCTTTTGAAACACCCTGGGGTGTCTACTTTAAGAAATGGTAGGCCTTTGTGGGGTAGTTTGAATTTAAACCCTGCTAAGATGCTTGGAAATTGCACATAGGCCCAGCGTCAAAATTCAAAGTTTGGTAAAAATGGATATGGCTTGGTCTCCTATATGGCACTGTAGCTTCACGAAATAGTGCCAAAGACATTCATTGGGGGTGTCTTTTTACTCAGAAGACTTAGCTAAGCATAATTTGGGAGGTTTGAACTTAGTGGCACATATGAAATATACAAAACGCCCAGCAAAAATGCAATCCGTATGTAAAAAATGCACAAAATTATTTTTTACCACATACTTTGGCATATATTGGTGAAACAATGGGGGCATGTTAAGGCACAATATGCACTTTATGAGATACTCTGGAGTGTCTACTTTTACAAATGGTAGGCCTTTGTGGGGGGGTTTTGAACAGTCAAACTGTTATAATACCCCAAATGGAAGCTAAGGCTCATTAAAACCATCTCTCAAAATTCTACTGTGAATACTGAAAAGGACAGGTATCCTGTATGGCACTGTAACTTCACGAAATAGTGCCAAAGACATACAATGAGGGTGTCATTTTACTCAGCAGATGTAACTGAACACAAAATAAAACTTTGTACAGGAATAGCACACACCAACTTTACAAAATATACATGAGAATTTCTTTGTTATAAGTTTGTGTGCCAAAAACCAAAAAAAACCACAATTTTACTCCAATATTTAGCAGAGGTTGGCGGTGAAATGGCAACGTAGAAAGTGTCAAAACAACCTTAGGTAAATAGCCCGTGATGTCTACTTTATATAAATATATACTTTTGTGTGGCAATTTTGTTTTCTTTTATGGCTATTAAGCTTACAAGACAAACATACCAAATTCTAAAATCGCTCCACATTAAAAGTTATTTTTACTCCTTGTGCTTTGTGACCTGTAACTACCAAAAAAAACTTAAAATCCCAGACACATTATATATTCTGTAAATCAGAACAACTAAATTAATTTATTTTTAATTACTTTTCTTAACCTGCACTAATTATGCACATGGTAGATGCTTTTGTCCAGGTCTGGGAGGAGATCTCTCAGGAGACCATCCGCCACCTCATCAAGAGCATGCACAGGCATTGTAGAGAGGTCATACAGGCCCGTGGAGGCCACACACACTACTGAGCCTCATTTTGACTTGTTTTAAGGACATTACATTAAAGTTGGATCAGCCTGTAGTGTGTTTTTCCACTTTAATTTTGAGTGTGACTCCAAATCTAGACCTCCATGGGTTCAACTATGTAAAGAACAAAGTATTTCAGAAGAATATTTAATTCATTCAGATCTAGGATGTGTTATTGTTGTGTTCCCTTTAATTTTTTTGAGCAGTGTATATCTATATATCATAATTTAATAATAATACAATCTAAAAAAATAAATGAGAAATTAAGATTTTTTTTTCAAGTTACATAGTTACATAGCTGAAAAGAGACTTGCGTCCATCAAGTTCAGCCTAACTCACATTTGTTTTTTGCTGTTGATCCAAAAGAAGGCAAAAAAACCCAGTTTGAAGCACAATTTTGCAACAAGCTAGGAAAAAAATTCCTTCTTGACCCCAGAATGGCAGTCAGATTTATCCTTGGATTAAGCAGTTATTACCCTACATTGAAAGATTATATCCTTGAATATTCTGTTTTTGCAAGTATGCATCTAGTAGCTGTTTGAACATCTGTATAGACTCTGATAAAACCACTTCTTCAGGCAGAGAATTCCACATCCTGATTGTTCTTACAGTAAAAAAACCTTTCCTTTGCCTTAGGCGAAATCTTCTTTCTTCCAGTCTAAACGCATGGCCTCGTGTCCTATGTAAAGTCCGGTTTGTGAATAGATTTCCACACAATGGTTTGTATTGGCCCCGAATATATTTGTATAATGTTATCATATCCCCTCTCAGGCGACGTTTTTCTAAACTAAATAGGTTTAAATTTGTTAACCTTTCTTCATAGCCGATATGTTCCATTCCTTTTATTAATTTTGTAGCCCGCCTCTGCACTTTTTCTAGTGCCATAATATCCTTCTTTAGAACAGGTGCCCAAAATTGCACAGCATATTCAATATGGGGTCTTACCAGTGATTTATAAAGAGGCAAAATTATATTCTTGTCCCGAGAATGAATGCCCTTTTTCATGCATAAGCCTACAACACCTGGTATTCCCAGGCGGTCTCCCATCCAAGTACTAACCAGGCCCAACCCTGCTTAGCGTCCGAGATCAGACGAGATCGGGCGTGTTCAGGGTGGTATGGCCGTAGTTCTGTATGGCATTTTAACTGTGAATATCATTATACTGTTAGCATATACTGCAATGAAATACAAATATTTGTATTCAACAATGTTTCACAAGTACAACAGTACCCCACATGTACAGATTTTACGGGGTTTTGAAAAGTTACAGGGTCGAATATAGGGCTTTTCCATTTTTGCCAATTTCAGTTTACCAGATTGG